GCCTGGCTTGGGAGGCAGGACGAGCCGTGTGATCTGATCCTCGGGCAAATTGATCCATGCACGAGTTGTGGCTAGGTGTCAAAATCCGGAACATCCAATTGGGTGGAAAGGGCTCTCAGAAGGGTTCTCCAAGTCCTTCTGGGAAGGGGGTCCCAAAGTCTCTCACCAAAGATTTTCCACTTGCTTTGACGTGGCACGCCTGCACCGTCACAACTCGCAGAATCGTATGATTCAGAGCCACAAGGGAGCCATTGCAGCGTAGTGCCTGTTAAATACCAGGGGCCACGGCTCCACATTGCGCGTTGGCTCTGTGGAAATCTGAGGACGCATCATGACGATGCACATCGTGACTTGCACAGGCGCCATTGCGGCGGACCTGCGGGAAGATCGAGTGTGTGAGCAACATAGCCCCAATGACTTCGTAGGGCTCCTATTCTTGGGATTCTCTCAAAGGATCAAGGCGTTACCAAGGCAAGCCCATTTGGGTTCATCCCCCACGCGAAACAAAACCTTTCTCTCCTCCGCTTGCAGGAAAACATGGAAGAAAATTGGGGGGGTCCTTCCTAACCATATAGAACCACAATCAGTTGGTCCGTTGCCCACGTAAGCCAAGGTCAATATTTATTGTGTCCCTAATGTCATTGGAACTTGGTGAGCAACCTCCATCTCGGTTCATCCGTAAAACCAGAACCCTTCAGCCAAATGGATTTGCCCTTTTTGTCCAAAATGGTTGTGGCCCTGAGCTTGGAAATGGTTGGTATATATCGTATATAGCTCTTGGTGAAATTCTGGTGGTGGTATAGCCCCGGTTGTCTAGATGACTGGTGGCTTGGGATGCAGCAAAAACCATCTTAGATTTTGGTCACACATGCCCGTCCTCGTGGGCTCCCCACTTCGAGATGTTGCTATCTACATTCCAGTAGTCGCCGCAGGTCCACCTGCCACTCAGAAGTCCAACGCAGCGCTAAGACGAAGGGAATTCGGGTCGACCCAAGGTCAACGAGCCCAAAGACGGGATGGCACTAGGCTAACTTCATCTCAATAAGGCTCAACTTGGATATGGCTCTGTTTTTTGCTGAGTCAACATCGAAAACCCCCGCATGTGTCCAGTGTTTCAAGGGCAACGTCTCAACTGCAGGTGCTTTGGAAGAGCACCCTTTTCAAAAGGAAACCAAGAGGACAACACCATTTTGGGAAAGGTCCGCCAATTTTGATACCCACATGGTCACTTGGATAGAATCAAGGCTTGCAGCAGTCGCAGAAGTGACCGGTCGATGGCGCATTCCGGCCGCGTAAGGCCGGCACAGTGTTCCCACGCTATCAACGCGCTCGATGCCTCCGAGCTTGGTGGCCTGCCACTTCACCGGTGCAAATCTGCGATGCACGGCAGATTTATTTTTTTTTGGAAACAGAAAATGGTTCCCATTGTCACGGCAATGAAAACGGGCCTGAAGCCGCTTCTACATCTGCTGAATGTGCAAGTCTGCAATTGTCCAACCTGGTTTGGGCTCACAAGTGCATTGGTGCCCTGCGTGGATGCCAGCAAGCCCAGAGTGCCAACCAGAGAAACCTGCCTGTGTCACTCCCTCCACGCAAAACTTGTTTGCACTCAAGACTATCTTGGCTCTGGAGGCAGACCCCGCCCCCCGGGCTGTATCTGGGCATGTGCCCGAATTTCTCTTCAGCACGGGAATTCTGGTGTGGGGCAGAAGAACATGGTTCCTTATAGGCCCCTGTCGCGAGGAAAGCCATGTGACCATCCATGGGCCGAAAGGTGATGCTTTAGCCCTAAACGAGGACAATCTGGGTGTGCTTATTTCTTGTGTGGAACCCCTTCTGATTGCTGTTTGAATTCGACGTAAAACCAAAAAGGACGCCAGAACAAAATGAGATCCGATGTTGCCCGCTGAGCCGACATCGATTCGAGCGAAATCGGAGCCTTGACTTGGCCCCAGAGCCGGCTGGGCTCCTTCGACTCGTTCACACCATGGAGCTCCTGTCAGCTGACGGGGGACCAACCCACCTCCCACCGCATATTTGTGTCAACTGAGCGGTTGATGCCCCGAAGGAAAGCTACTCCTAGATGTGCACGTGGGTCCAACAACCCACAAAATGAGGATGATAGGCCCCTCCAGACTATCACATGGGTTCGCGTTCGCCGGCCCAAACGAGTCCAACGATCCAAAAGACGAGGATGCTGCCCGCAAAGGGTCCATCCTCAAAACCACGTTCCATGTCAACTGCAGGGAAGTACCCCTTACAAATACAGGGGTGACCACAGTGCCCGCAGTTTTAAGTGGAACCAGACCTCAACTGAAACTGGAGTTGGGCTCCAACAACCATCAAATGTGATTGCGGGGTGCAAGTCCCTCTTTTACCCATGGGCGCTAGCCTTCCGTTAGGGGCATTCGGGGTTTGTGCACCACAAAATGGCGGGAGATGTGCCCATCAGAACTGCCCCCTTAAAATCCGTCCAACCGTGGCTACGAACCGTTTTCCAAACTGGCCTGGTGAGTTGGAAGCGCAAAGGGATCCAAAAAGACGGTTCCGTTTGGTGTTTCGTTGAATTTGTTGAATTTGTTGTTGTTTTTCTATGTAAATTTCTTTTGGAAGCTCCACTGAGGTCCTCAATAGCCTCCTTTGGGATTCGCTCGTGGCGAGGATTTTCTGGCAGCCCATTTTGCCTCGCGCGCAGAGGGGCGTGGGCTGTCGTGGAACCAAACAGCTGGAGTCCACAGATTTGACAAGTATGTTTAAGTGTAAAGGGCGCCAACCTGAAAGCAGCTGCTTGCACCAAAATCCAGGGGACTGAGTAGCGAGCTTGCCGTTGGAACGCGATGCTGCAGCTATGCCAAGGTTGAACCTCGCAAACTCCAGCGCATACCACACATGCCAGTGGCTGCCAAACCATCCGATGGCGCCAGATCCACCAGGATCCTTTGCTGCTGTGTTCGGGACAACTGGTGCTACATCTTGCTGTGCTCATCTTGCAAAGCAGGTCACTGGGATGCACAACACGACGGCTTGGTTTGGGCATGTCCCAATAGGGGAGCCACTTTTTGGATGCCTTGAAAAGAAAACCCCAAGGAATCAGAAGCCCTAGGCCTTTGCACAAAGCTGGCGTATGCTGTGGCCGGAACGCCCCGGGCGCAGCAAGGGTCCCACAGCCATAAGACATGGCGCCCCTAACGGGCCGGCCTGGAGCAGCCAAATGGCTTGTCAGTATCTGCAATCCTTCCAACTAAACTGGCGGGATTCGCACCGCTTTCTCAAAAACGAAGGCAAGAGGAGGTCCGCCTCATTGAGTTGGTCCAGAATGGCAGGGTCAACTCCACAAGAATTGGAGCAAGTCTATGCTCTCACTGCAATGTTTTCTTGCACTCAGCGCGTTATCTCAGGAAGAAAGAGCAAAGCCCACAGCCAAAAGGTCCGCATCCCTCCAGAAATGGCATGGTTATATGAGTCTCGGTGCTACTTGGGTTTGTCTTGCATAGGGAAACCCACAACCCGTTGGAATAACCACAAACAATTATAATTGAACCTGTCTGGGACGCTCCGTGCCTTTGAAACCAGCTGTGGCTTGCCTTTCCACCCGGAAGGTCCCCGGAGGGGCCGTCCAGGGGCAAACAAATGCCCCCGAGGCGGGCCAAGGGGGGGAGACCCAAACCTCTTTTGGCAGGCCCCGGAAGATGTGCCGGAAGACTCGAAGACTCCGGACTGGAAGACAGTGGCAGGCGCAAGGATCAATCCCTTCAAAATCTGCGCGCTGCCGCACATAAAGCTCTCGGAAAGGAGAGAGTGTTTACCTCTCTCGAGAGAGCTGCTCATGGCACGCTGGCCTCGACACCCCGACACCCCCGAGCCATGCATGATATGTACAGGATGTCTCGTTGCACTGCAAGGTCTTGCAGTGCCATGCACACAATTCTTGAATGGCAGCATATCATATCTGTGGTACAGTCTGGCTCTCCTCTGAAAGGGCTTCATGCTGCCACGACGCGTTTAAAGCACTCCTACATTGGCGAAATAGGGACAGGAACAAGCTTCACCAAAGCAGGAACTGCCTTCCCCTAGCCTTTGCTGGCATCGGCATTCGTTAATTACGCAGTGTAGCCCACAAGCACTCACTTCTGCCAAAACAAAGCCACTTTATTTGTGGCCATGTCGTGACAGCACAAATGACGCTCAGAACGCACATGAGCGCCTGTCAACGTCATCGGAAAGGGAGAAGGACATTCATCCCCAGTAGGATTCCATATGTACGATATGGTAAATATTGGTAAAGACGGCCAAGTCCATCTTTTCAGCCACAATCTTGGCAGGGCGTCTTCCTAGAGTTTTGGGACCCCACAGACCGGTCGGTTGGCTTTCTTTTGGATTCTCATTCACCATCATACGAATGAAAGTCACAAGTTGTTGGACACATTGAAACCAGGGTCACAGCCAACAGGTGATCCCAGACTTCTCAGAAATGCCGGCATGCACAACATCCGTCTGGGAAGAACGGGTTCAGAGTTTCGAGCTTCCTGGAAGCAATCGTGCCTCGACGCAAACGACAATGGGGTCAGACTCCCATGTTGACGGGGGGTGACTTCCCAAAAGAGACTCCTCACATGATGGCTTGTTCCCTGTCGCTCTGCATGGGAGTTATCAAGACTTATGAAAGGAGTCGACCTGAAACTCATCAAAAAACCGGCTTATTGCCGTACCCATTTCTGGTTAGGGGGACTTCCCCCAACCTTCATCTACCCGTTCAACTCCATGGTCCTGAGATCTTCCGCCTCAAATCATCAGAGGCTCGATTTTCCTTTGGCGTTTTGAGGCGCTCCGGCTTTGTCAGAAATGAAACTTACATCTCATGGCGCAGTTCAACAATGAGCAAGATGGTTGTGCCAATGCAGGGGAACGGGCGGCCCATTCAAAATACGCTCCAAAACAGGCACACCCCACATCTGCTTTGATTCGTTCGTGTGCTCCAAGCAGAGGGCCGGAGAATTCTAAACTCCGAGTGAAAGTGAACATCAACTTCCCAATGTGAAGCTGGGGGAAAATCTTGCCCCGAAGCTGATGCTCAACCACCCAAACGAAATCTGCGGCCATGACAAGTGCCATCGTCTTCCCCCAAGTTCAGCCAGCCAGCCAGACAAGCTTCCAAGGCTGTCCCATGTGAGCGCTACCAAATGCAACGAGGGAGTCAGGCAAGAGCTTTGCTAGCTTTGTTCTTCGCGAGGTGACAGCCTAGACCCCTGTGACATGGCCCGCCCGGCCTGTCAGCGCACCTAACAATTCATTCGCGAACGCAGCAGGCCCTGCTCTTGCACGGCTCGTCCTGAACGCTTGAAAGCGAAACCTGCCTTACAGGTGACATGGCCAAACTTGCTCTTGCCAGCCATGGTCATGGCTCCCTGTCTAAATCCCTGCACCAAGGAAAAAAGACATGTTGTTTTCCCCGTTGGTGGACATCACTTGCATCAGGACTCATCTCCAACCATGTCTAGTCTGAGGGTGTTCCGACCATTGAAAAACTGCACCCGATCTCGCCGAAAACGGGTGTGAGGCATGGTAGAAGGACAGGTCGCTCCTTCCTCAGCCGGAGGGTGTCTGGGTAGTAGGGCTCATCCTGTGCGCGCGTTACAGGCACCGGGGCGCAACCGCTGCCGCAAGGCGTGGCGGCGAGGCGTGGTGTTGCCTTTACCGAGAAGGGTTCGCCTTCAATGCGGAGCTCTGCTTTCTTCCAATGTGGCTGCCTGTCAACAAGGTACCCAAATTCCCCCATCAATAAGAAACACTTACCCACCAGAGTTGCCTCATGCTCCGTTCATTGGTTGCCCAATGTATCCCACTCCATCTTCTATCCTTGAAGGTCCATACATGGAACCAACCAGCTTACATACCCGCCCTCCAAGCAAGCAAGCGCCAATGGGCGCGAACCGACCCACCCTGCCCTTCCCCACATGCAGCAGCTGTGTGCGCGAGTGCCAACTAACCCTCCCCAACCCCCCACGTCATGCGTAGGCCGTTTCACGAGTTGTTGGTTGCTGGAGCGAGCAGTGAATGTTGGTTTCTGAAGCGAAGCTTTTGAAGCGAAGCTTCTGAAGCGAGAAAGGTTGGTTGCTGAAGCGCATGCAGTTTGGTTTCTGAAGCATAGTGATTGCTGAAGCGTAGTGGTTGCTGAAGCAGACTTCCAAGTAAACCGTGTCCCCATGGCGGGCCTCCACTTTGACCGTCGCGCACGATGTGGCGGGCCACCACACAAATCAGCCGATGAGCTGGGGCGTGATTGTGTCATGCTCATGTGTTTTCCATTCCCGTGCAAGGGCTGCTGGGGATGGTGGGCTCGAATCTCCCTGGGCCGCCAGCGCTGGCGCTTACTCGGGGAGTTTGGGCACGGGAATGTACACATGTACAACCGCAGCGGAACACTTACGCCCATACTTTCCATGCATGCTGGCAACACACTGGGCCAGCGCACAGGGGTAGGCCAGCTCAAAGTCAAGCATACAGACTCATCCAACATATATCAGTCCTCATAATATCAATATATCAATCATCAAAACCAAACGTATATCACTCACTATAATCCAACGTATGTCAATCATCCAAATCAAAGGAACATGTCACCGCTCATTCCGGCGACCGCAGAAGTCGGCGGAATGAGCCGGAGGCTCTGAAACAAAGGAGTCTTTTCACAACTGCACAAATGCTTCCTCGCCCTCCCTGAAGTGTGATCTTCGACAATCTGGGCGCCTCCCGGCGACGCTGCTTGATGACCATCTCCGCCAACTTCAGGAATGCCTGGCGGACCAGTGTGGTTTGCCAAATCCTTTCTTCAAAACCTTGTGTTGTGCGGAAGGAATCCTTTCCCTGGCATTTGCTTCTTTTCGGGGGGATTCCTTTAACTACCCAGTTGGTTCTCTCACTGGCTTGCTGATTAGCTAGCTATCTACCAGGCTACCTAGCTCACTAACTAGCCAGCCAGAAAAACGCTTCGAATCAGAAAGGAAAGCTGCTCACCTTCGCTGTAACAATGTATAGTATAGTCCAATGCCGACAAGTCGACTGGGTTGCCCTTCAAACCCTCCAAACCGGAAATATCGAAAACAATCACGTGAAACGGCTTTGAAACGAATTTGCCCAGTCGCATGTCCCCGGGTCAAAAACCATTGGGTAGGACGGCAAGCCGTTCTCGGCTTCGGGCCTCATTCACGTTGTCGCCAAACCAGGCACTCGTTTCGAAGAAGGGGATGCCGTACCTCGGGTGTTGTCTTTGCGAAAAACTGGAGTTTAAGTCTACCTAGGTATACAATAAAATAATGACATCCGGCATGCGCTCGTGTCAAACCCAGGAACCCTTAAACAGGCGAATCTAAAGGAAACCAACGTGTCACGCGCCGATTTGGAGCAGTTCCCACTTTTGAACACGTCCCAGGTGGTGGTTTTCGAGAATAGGAGAAGGACCGCTCAAATTGGCTCGTGTGCTTTGTTTCAGTACCCTGGTTAAACATGGCCGCCAAAGTTGTCGAGCCTCAGAAATCCATCTGCACTGTCGGTGGCTTGGTTTGGCTTGAGAGGTTGGGCCTCGTTTCAAGAGCAACTGGGGGGCTTCACATTGCCACAAGCAACCGATGAGAAGCGAGAACTTCCTCAGGAAGGGACTCTTCAGCCAGCGCCTGTCCTTGCTCCCGGGTCACCACAATCTTCTCAGCGTCGGCCTACGCGTTGCCATCACCAACAGTTGGGTTCTCTAAATCGAGAACCCTCGCGATTTCCCTTCACAACCCCAATACCGGTAGCCTCAATTAAGCGTCACACTCGCTGTGCAGAGTGCGCAAAGGCACGCAGCTTGCAACGCCACCAACTCTCCCATCATAGGAGTATGTGTCAACATAGGAGGCCCAAAATGTGGTTGTCCTTTTGGTTTGAAGGAACCAGGATGAATAGGGTACCTTCAAAAAACACCGCCATGCGTCGGGAGGTTTTGCACTTCAACCTACGAGCAGTGCCTGCGTTGGAAGTGACAGACAAGACAAGCAAGAAACGACGAATTGGAGCAAGTCTCTGGGGGAAATTGCACAATCCCATTGCTCAACTTGTTGCAAACGACTTTTCAGCGAGCAAACAACTTCATTCAACAAATGTTCGAACAAAATAGGGCATTGGGACCCCAGAATGGGTGGTTACTCTGGTGTCACTGAAAACCATACCCCTGCAATGCTTGAGCATTCAAATACACGAAACTCCCAAGGCGAAGATTCGTCATGATCCTTGAAAGCCCATGATTGATGCAAACGCGGAGGTTGCTGACCATCCATTGGAGGGCTGGATTGTTTTTGAGGGCACTCTTTTTGGAAGTCAAAAAGGAAGCCAAAGGGACCACCCAAATTGACGGCTCCCATCCAAGGCAAAGCTTTGACCATGGCACAAAATGGGACCTGCCCAAAGCACTCGCGGCGACTTGCCTTGTTGCCCACCAGAACGCGCTGGACATCCTGATTCCGAAGGATACTGAGATAAAGACGCGATAGGGAGCATGCTTCTTTCCACCCCAAGCCAGTTTCCTGCTGCTTTATGGGCCCAAAAGACAGGCTCGGGTCGAACAAACATGCTCCAAAAGCAAGCCCGCCTTGTCTCCGTGCTTGGAAATCTGCTCGTTCCAGCGAACAATGTTTCGGAAGGATGCCTGGCAGGCCAAGTCAATCACCGTCAAGGAGCACGTCTCTGCAAAGCTCCAGCAATGGACCCACCGAGTCGACTGGCGGAAAAGGTGTTCAAGCCTTTGGCCGCCAAGCCATTCACACGGGAGGCTTTCTGAATTCTGGTGTGTCGCTCAGGTCTTGGCTGCAGACCTCGTCAGTCATATCATACACCATCAGGATGCCCATGGCGCTTCGATAGTATCTGGGCTCGCGAAAAGATAGGACATGTGAAATCCCGGCGAATGCTGATGCCACTGCTATCGAGAGCACCCATTTCAAAGGAGCACGGCACCCAAATCCAAGCGAGGACTCAAAGCACACCCGGTTTGGCAGACATGAAAGGTAGGGGTGGAGCTAACTTCCTTGGGATGGGGGTCCGGGGGTTCTCTCACAACCAGCGAAATCTTTAGCTTCATTTGAGAGGCCGGCTGCTGAGTGATGGTTTGAAACCGCTCTTGACCTGCAGTGTCCCAGATTTGCAGCTTCACCTTCTTGCCTGCGCGCAGAGACTGGAGCACACCCCAACGTCATTCCAACATGTCCAGCTCCCTTTGGTCTCCAATATCAACCCTCACGGGTTGCCCGGGACCTGCCTCTCATCCACAGGATTTTGTCCTTGTAGTCAACCCCTGCCACAGGCTGCAAAAGGAAGGGTCCTTGTTATTCTTGGGAGGAGGGTTATTTACAAGCAAGAAAAGCCGTCCCTCTTTTGAACAATCCTTACAGCTGCACGCAGCCTTAAAAGACAACGAACCCCCCAAAAAAGGCTTCTTGTTGCTCAAACCAGGCGAAGCTTTTGGCCGACCTTGGACTCCGATTCAAAACTGGCAGGTGTTGCCGATGGTGGTGGTCTTGTCGTTCTTGAAGCCATCCTCCACAAACTTCACCACCAAGGCCGTTTTGCCAACACCTCAAGCGAAGGCAAGGGGCAAGCATCGGCGTTTGCTCCTCTTGCTTTCATGTGGTGCCACATACCTCGCATGTGGGGAAGGGGGCGTTTCCACGTGAACGATTGATCCCTTCGGTGCCATCTCAGGAGAGGTGTCAAACCTTCCCCACTCACTTGCAGATTCAGCGCCCCACCTGAGTCACCAATCCTGAGCTTTCAAATGAAGGACACACAAACCTCCATGCGCTTGAGCAGGTATCATCATGTTCACAAAAAAAGCAAGCCAGCAGTTTCGAGCATCTTCAGCCGGTTGGCTTAATGCTGCAAAAGATGTCAACAGGTACTGTGCGACCTAGGCACATCATCGACTTGATGCACAAATCGCAAGCCATCTTGATTGTACCACTGCCAGAGTACAAGCGCCTTCAAACATCAAGCACATGCATCGTTCATTTCCAAATGCTCATGGCATGCGCATGATGTTTGTGTGCTTGAAGGTCTGCCAAGATTTGCGAGGCCATCCATCCTAAAGCCCAAAGCTCCCAAGAACTCATACAGCACGCAGCACGCAAAGCCTCGCTCGATCTTCGCACACCGCACCAACCCTAGGTGTGCTGTTGAAAATATGGACGGCACTCGTATGTGATCAGAACCTGAAACCAGGAGCGCCTAGGTTGAACCCAACTGGCACAAACAGGACGCCTATGCATCCCAGCTTCCCCTCGTTTTGCATTGCTGCACAAGAGCTGTTGCTTCTGGCACTGGAAGCGGCCGGAAACGCGCAGTAAACCATGACAGGATGTCTTACATTTGGCTCGCGGAGGAGACTCTTTTTGCGTCACCAAGCACAAGTTGCTCGGGAATGCAAGGCAGAACGCCAGTTTCCAGACCTCGTCTGTCCCCAAGTTCTGCTTTGGAAAAGCGATATTTACACCAGCACCTCAGATGCCCCCTTCGGGCATGTTTCCTTCGTGGAAAAGTCCTGGCTAAAACAAACCTGGCACTCTGGTGTGTCATCTTGAGTCTTTTGGCAGCTGCTCTGATACTGGTCATGGAGCTGCAGGCCTTTCTTGAAAAAGGCCAGCTGCGTCATGTTGGTGCACGTGCCGTGCTTCTCCCACTCATGCTCCCAGAACTTCTCGTTGCTGTCACCAAACTCCGGACAGGAACGCCACTTCATTTCCATGTCGTTGCGGATGGGCTCCAGAATGCTAGCATCGAACTTGGGGCCTGGGCATCCATTCTTCCACTCGGGCCACAGGCCATGTAGAGTCCAGTTGCTGGCACCTTTGCACTCCTGGAATTTGAGCTCGTAGCATTCTCCACCAGGGTACGCACAATGAGCGGCAAATGACTGGGGCACAACGGACAGGACCAGCAGCACCACCGAAGACATCATCATTGCTGCAAGTGAATGAACAGATGTTTGAGCAATGACACTGCGGCCATGTGGCCATGGTGTTTGTCAGTCTACACAACATACTTGAAAGTACCTGTCGCGCATTGTTGCTTTTCTGATGCAACCATGCGCTTTATGCTGTGCCAAAACCCGACACTAGCTGGCCTTTCCAAAACACTAACACTACCCAGATTCAGTGTTGTGCACTTTAGGCTTGTGACACCGTTCGAAAAGTCTGCCACAAAAAGCAATGATTAATGCGTCTTCGGAGCGTTCGACATATTCACCTTGCCCTGCTCATCAAATCAGAGCTGCATCTTTATTCAGGGTTTATTGCTCAAAGTTCGGCATTGCCTTTTCAACACGGCAAGAAACTGCCAACGTGCGTGCCGCATCAAGTTTTGTCGTCACTTTGTTTGACTAAGATTGGCGAATTTGCTTGTGTTTAAACGAGCATGGGGAAAGGCATATCGTACTTGTAAAGCTATCCAACTCTGTTTCACATTAGTACAACAAAGACATGTGGCAATCGTTCATCAACATATGCACCTATTCACATTCAAAGCAACAACACCACACCCAACATGGTTTCCTTGCGGATTCGCTGCACCCATCCGCGAAGTCATGGCACTTGTTGCCCCGAAAGCATAGCGAACGGTTCGGCCGTTGATTTTTTAGCGCCAGCTTGCATCGGGAAACTTATGGACAGAACTTCTGTCAAGAACTTGCGTGAACTTAACGATTGAACTTGCATACATTGTTTGCTGTTTTGTACAATGGACATTTGCATGCAGAATGCAGAGAGCGTTCATCGAAAAAGTCCAAAAGATTTTTTTCAAGAAACTTAGCATGGACAACATGCATTGGGAAGCTTCGCATCAAGATTTTTGTTTTGCATGGACAAAGCGCAATGAATTTGCATATCAAATGCCATAGAAAAAACTGGCGAAGAGACCTGGCGCAGGTAAAATATATAAGCATTGACAATGTGATACATTGCTTGCCATGGAAAAACGATTGGCTTTCCTCATCTTTGCGCTACAACAGCGGACTGGCGATATCGCAACAGCCGCGTAGAGCAAAAAAATGTTTGCCATGGAAAAACGAACAAACCAAAACAAACAAAAAACACGTTGTTCAAGATCGCGTTTTTCTGCTGCATTTTCGCACCAGATTGCACCGAGTGCGTACAGGACTTAAAAAGCACAATGCACACAGGCATGGAGACAGTGAATGAGGAAAAAATTAAAACACAGAATGTGTGTGGAAACAAAATCCAACAAAAAACGCATGTAAAAAGCAACGCGGATTGTAAAAGAAATGCAAGTCCTTGCCGAATCCTGGTTGCTGCTCCCTCACGCCGTAAAATGCCCAGTCAACCCATTGGATCCCAAAAATTGTGAGAGCAATGGTCACACATTGTGTGCAACAAAAAGACAGGATACAATGGAACCACACTCAATCCATTTTAAAGGCGCCAGACCAAAGCTGGTGTGCGTCGTTCCCAGCTCCTTTTCAGCCACTAACGTTGTTTTCCAACAACTCTAGAAAACACACACAGTTCCTGTCCATGCAAAACGTCCCCAATAGCACTTTCTTTTCACACAATAATCTTGTGGCTAAAGGTTCTTCTCTTTGTAGTCAAGTTATCCATCCAGATGTCAGATTTCAGCTTGATTGGATTTGCGGACTCGTTGATGCTGTTTCCCCTGTTCCCCGTGGTCTGCTCCACATGTCCTGCAAGTTCTGTCCCACTTCCTCCACGTTAAACACTTGGTGCTGCGCTTTCAAACAACTTCCACAAGACCCTCATGAAGCAGCTCTGTCAAGTCGCGTGTTTTTTCCTAATTGCACGAGAGTTGCACATTCCAAGTCCAAGGTGCAGATTGTCCTAAGACAAGCGCGTTCTATGCTGACGCTGCAAAGGCAATTGTGCAGCGTTAGACCACCTGCAATTTGCTTTGCTGCAGTGCAATTCCGTTTGCCAGCGTGCAAACGCGTGACCTACCTTGTGCTTCACAAAATGGCTACAGCAAAGCAACTTTACAATGCTGGAGTGCCAGATTGCACAAGTATCTTGCCCCGCCACATGTTGATGCACAATGTTGCTCAAGAAACACTTTGATTGGCCTGCTCCAACGCCCCCTACTGGTTGGCAGTTTCTGCTTTGCGTGTTCTTGGAGTTGGTGACGCCGTGTATAACACCTCCCCTCCACTTTTGCTCTTGCCTTTGCTCTTGGGTCCATGATGCATTCCACATAGAAGTGCACTCATGCTAAGGACCCAAACCATTAAGGCCCCCACAAGCCTTGCCCGAGTGTCCGTCCTTGACGTTTCTCTTATTTCGACCTTTGGAGTCAATCTGGTTTTGGTCCAGTCAGAGACTTTACCACCAGTCCTGACACCAGTCTGGAAGCGACGTGAGATTCCACAAACCGCACCTTCGGGCTTTGGAAGGTTTTGTTTTCCCCAATGTCCTGGCAGTCCGGCTTACGGGAACTTGAACCGGTTCTGCGGCTCTCTTCGTGCCGGATCAGGACGCAGTCCAACTTGGCAGCGCGCTAGGTTAGAATCTTGATCACTGCTTCAATCCGAAAGGGAACATGCAGTCCAAGACAAAAGGAGCCGACCGACAAACATGTGCGCACGCCCCTTTTTCTTTATAAGGCGTTGCTTGGAAGTTGAGGCTCAGAGGTGCAGGGGGAAAGACATCGCTGTCCTTTCCCCGTATCTGCACCCCTCTGCGGAGCCTCCTCATATGCCCCCACTTCAGGGTTCCAAGCAAACGGCCTAATCTATCACCCCCTCTTCAGAGCGTTTGCGAAGCACTCCTATGCTCCGGCCGCCATGGGGCGTCGGGCGGACGCAGTGATAGCCTGCATTTGTGGGGCCAGAAATCATGCGGGCGAAAACGAAAGCGAGCTTGCGGCTTGCTGTCGAATGCGGATGTGTTGCCGCGGCTGAGCTGATCGGCCCACACGTTGTGCTCGCCTGGGATATGCGAGGCTAACACTGACCATTTGTGCTTATAGGCCCATGCTGCGACTAATTGCACAAAGATCTGCAAGGGCCATGCCGTGGTGAACAGTTTGTTCACCCCGGCTTCTGATGCGGTGTTATCCGTGCCGGAAGGCATGCGTAAGCCGTGCACTGATTGTCCCTCGGCTGTCCAAGCGATGCGCATCAGCTGGCGGAGCCAGGGTTTCGAAGCATGCTATGTAGCGCTGAGCCTCCTTTGTGAGGCACGGCCACTGCTGCTGGACTTCTTGGAAGTCCCACGTCTCTGCAAACCAGGAGACGGAGCGGCTGGATATAAACCAACCACCTATGCTGACTGTGGTGCCCTCGGCACAAGCATCGGCGGCTGCTTTGCATGCCAAGACTGGCTTGCTGCGCAGCGGGCAGGCCAAATCGGCTTGAAAACATTGAAGGAGCCACTCAATGTTAGCTTTGCTTGCCGCGGATAAGCGCGTGTGCTGGCTTATGGCTGGGCACGATGCGCGGCAGGTCGGTGGAGCTGCGTATTGATGTTTGCTGATACTCTAAGACCCTGGAGCCAAGCGGCATAAAAATGCCGTGCACGGGCGAAGCTAGTACAGCTTTGGAGTTTAGCGCCGACAGAAATGCAGGCCACAGGCGTGCGTGCACGGATATCATGCATCCTGGTGGCGAGCGCAGATCTGCATATAACGGCGCAAGCCAACACCTCAATTCCAGGCTCAGGCTGGTGGCCCAGATGAGCAGCCCGAGGACCTGTTCCAAAAGCTTTCTTTTGATGCGTTTGGAACGGAGCAGCGCGAACAGCTGCTCTTTCAGCTTCAGGGTTTTGAGTGGAGTGAGTTCAATCATTTCCAGGCTGAAGTTGGCTGACCATCCGCACCAAGTCAGGCAGTTTTGGAATTGCACTTTTTTCCAAGAAATGGACGCACTAATCGCTGCAAAGAATATGACAACGAGTGCCAGTTGCTGATGCGCATCTGGGCGGCGCAGTGCGGCCACCAGTACGCGGAGAATCGTGCTCCGAA